TATATATATATATATATAAAACCTAAGTCTTCATATATTTACCTATCTAATGTTTAAAATGAAGGTTAAATTTCTGGTTTACTTCATGTATTTTTGGGAAATGCATGTTGGGAAATATGAAAATGTTAGTGCTTGTTTTGTGATGGTTTGTGAACTTCAAAAGAAGCTTTGTTTTTTTTTAAAGATGGCTTTGCGGTTTTCATTTAGAGAATCGAAAGCTTTCATTTTTAGAAAAAAAATGAAATTATCAAGGCTTTTATTGGTGAAATCTAGAATCGATGTAGCTTTGGTTTTTGTGATTCGGAAACTTTGATTTTTTTTTTTTGGAGAAATTTGGAAATCCTTGTGGCTTTGTTTAATGGAAGTTTAAGAACTTAGAGTCTCATTTTGGGAAATCTGAAATGCTTTATAGTTTTGATTACAAAAATATGAAATGTTGATGGTTTTGTTTATGAGAAATTGAGACTTTGTTGTCTAACCTTTTGGTTGGAAATAAATGAGATGCTAGTGGCAATAAACAATTTGATGACTTGTATAATCGACATCTTATTTGCACATTTTCTGCTTATAATAAATTTTGGAGTGAAAAGTTTCGTTACTCTTTACTTGCTTACTGCATTCAATTATACATGCTTTGTTCGATGATGGGATATTTTATTCCTTTCTTCTTCATGCTATTCATTTTATCTTATATTTGAAAAGAAGAACCTTAGGATAGATAATGTTGGACATATGTCTAGGGTGACAATCTCCAATGCATAATTCGATTTTACCTAATAAAGAACCCCTATGGCAGCGAACGTAAGATATGTTTAGGGTTGAAACTCTGAGAAACATGATGTATATATTGATTTGATGAGTAAATCTTTAATAAATTTTTGGATCCTAAAAATAAAATCTCTTTGAAGCGTAATAAACCCATTCAAAATTACTAAATAAAAGGTTAAACATATTATCTTTCCAACTCTTTTGAAGGTCGAAGAATTGTAACTATTCTGTTGGATGACATACTTTTTGGCGTTTTGAGGCATTCTTTTGATTAGTGTACAACCGAGGAGAGCTTCTTGGCTCCCTTTAGCCATTCTCCTTTCTTGATAAGCTCTTCATATTTTCACATTGTTCCTTAAAGTTTACATCTACATACTAATGAAATTCTTCAAATAAAATAAAAATAATATAAAATAAATTGAATTAACTTTCATAAAATAAAATTTCTTACGACTTCAAATCAATGAAAGTTTCACCAAACAATCAAATAAACAAAAATGAATAGAACAAGGAGAATTCAAATGCAAAAATGTAATATCTTTCATCAAGAGTATCTGAATAAAACATAAATAAGTAAGCCATTAGTTATAACTCATAAAGATTTCAAATAAACGTTAGAACAATTAGAGAATCGTGGAGGTCTTTTGGAATTCAATTATGAACGATCCTATCAAAACTCTGAGAGTTCTATAAATCACTTAAATTCAATAAAAAAGAATAATAAAAGCTTTAAGATAATTCAAATCCACTTAATAAAAAAATCCAATTCTTTAGTATAACAAAAATCAAAGCCA